TCTCCAGCGCCTGCATGCAGGAACAGGTTTGTCACAATGGGAAAGTCCCCTGGTTCCTTACTAACAACTGCTGCTGGTAAATCAAGGCTGGTCTGTTACCAGGAAGACAGTACACATTTAATAACTTACACCCCCACATTCCCAGCAACTGCACTTTATTCCCATGAAGCAGTGTGGAATTCTACTTTCATTGCTGTGATTACCATAATCATTTAAGTGTTACAATAACTATAAACAAGATAAAAAGACTTTTTTGTAGTATTTTTCCAGAAAGGCTGCAACAAACTACAACAACACTGGGTAATTTGGGCTATAAAACAAAAAAAGCTTTTGTGGTGGCCCAAAGATGTCTTCTTGGCCAGATAATTTTCTAACAAATACTGAAGGCTTGTTTTTCATTTTTTTGTGACTCACTAATGAATCTAGAGAATTATCACCCAGCTCTGTAGGTCCCCTGGGCTCTACTGAATGTTTTAGCATTTTTTAGCTCATTTTGTTGTTTTACTGCCTTCCAAATACTCAGCAAGTAAATTAAAAGGAAATGAATCAATGACTAAAAAGCTTTTTGAACAGGGTCCCCTGGAGAAATCACTGCAGAATTCCGTGGCCTTTGAGAGGCAGAAGAACATGGACAACAGAGTCGGTATCATCAGGAACAGTGTGCAGGTAAGAGAAACACACAGATGTTTGTAGGAATATCAAAGCCAAGACAGTGCTCTATTTCATCTTATAAAACACATTTTATAACAGATGTGTCTTTCTGTGTCTAGTTGATGGACCAGGCTGTGAAACACATTGAGGACATGCAGGACGATTTCGATTTCCGCTACAAGACTCTACAATCTCGGGGTGAGGCCTTTCACACAAGCTGTGAAAAAAACAGCATTCATTTAAAACTGTTTTTCTGAAGACCGTGGAAAAGCACGCTCCTGAATGTGTTCAAAACAATTTTTATGTGTGGTTGTATGTGTGTATGTGTGCCAGAATCATCAGATAGGAACTCTGACATGATGAAACAGGAAGTAACAAGACTACAGGAAATGCTTAACAGGCTCGACTTTAAAAGGAAGGTATGCTTTTGCATCAACATGCTAAGTTGTTATATAAGAGGTACAAGGAAGTTTACACAAAATATCTACAAATATAAAAGTGACAGATTCTTTGTGACACCTCCTGAGTGTCCAAATAAAAACTCATTGCACTGAATGACTTACATTTCATGAGGCATCACTATAGCTTTTTCACACCCTTGTCAGGAGATTCTGTCAAAAATGGATATTGTCATCAAAGAGATTGAAGACTTGATGACTTCTCAGCTCAAACCAGAGCTGCAGGACTGGAAACGCAGGCAGCAGATCGCTGCCATCGGGGGTCCATTGCTCACTGGCCTGGACCAGCTGCAGAGCTGGTAATAAGTGTTCCTGAATGTCTACTGAAATCATTGCTTTAATGCATTAGTGACGTTATATGATTAAAGTATGTAACACACACATTCCCAGAACATGTAGACATTAATTGCTGTGCATTATAAGTACTCCAGTGATGGAGCGCTGCTGTTCTATATAGCTAGAGAACCTACAATAGACAACTTAAAAAATAAGGCCCAAACTCAAAGCAGCAGAGACCCAGACAGCCTGACCTATAACCTGCACGGTGTGTAGGTTGACTTTCAGTAACGGCATTTACACATCCATTATACTACTAATAATAGTAAAAAATATCTAATTTAAACACAGTGAACAGAATAAACTGGCTCATTTGGGATAAAGCCTTTCATAATTTGTCATGGAAACATACAGTCGAATTAAATCCTAGACAGTTTGTATTTTCTACACATGCTGACCCCCTTCAACTCAACCAAAGATGCTCCTCTGGGAAGATGTGTCACTCTCTGCTGATTAGCAAATGATGCAAGCTAATGCATTAAACTAATGTGAACATGGTAAACAATTGGCCCAATAACATGAGCTGGATGTCATCTGTGAGTACATTAGCATGGTGACATTAGCATTTAGTCATGGCTGTGACTCTTACCTCAGCCAGTATAACCAAGGCACATCAGTCTCATAAATGATACTAAGTGTTTATCTTGAAAGCTGCTCTGATTGTTTGATGTTCTTTTTTTTCCCCAGTGTGACCTCTGACCCGCAATGGCTAAGCCCAGATCAGTCTTACACATAGAGTATATAAGCATATAGTTTCTCCCTCAGCTTCCTCTTTCTCTTCTCACCTGTCCCCTCTCAGGTTTACTCTGATGGCCCAGAGTCTCTTCCAGATCAAGCGTCAGCTGGACAAACTGGGTGAGCTGGTTGTGAAGGTCACCTATGAAAGTGATCCAATCCCACTGCAAAAACCTCGGATGGAGGAGAGAGTTAAATACCTCATCTATCACCTCATCAAGAGGTACTAAACACTGCACAGTACACCATAAGACGGTGCAATGCTGCATGACCATTGGTATGAACATGTACATATAATGTAGGTGTATTTGTTTATTCGTTCCTACACCTGTTTTTTAGTAATTAGATGCTTTGAACATCACTATTCCTATGTACAGCCATTTTATTTTGCATTTTTGTAGAGTAGTTTCAGTTTTCTCCATTTCCAAGAAAATGGAGACCTAAGTAGCAGCAGATGAGGGAAGTACGTATAAGCAACTTATAGTTTGTTGGGAACTGGGCATGACAGTTTTCTGGGAAGTGTTTTGTTTTATAGTTTTGAGCTTGTGTAGCATCTTTTATCATCTCTGCAAACACCTGCAGATTGTATATATAAATTGGTAACATAACTTGAGTATGTTTCCGGGTTGCAAGCGAGAGCAGACGTCTTTATTGCTTCTCTTGTTTGTTCTACAATTTTTCACATCTTCCATATTGTCAAGGCTTTGAACAAATTCTACAACTACTAAAATGCCTCCAAGAGGAAAAAGAGCTAATAAATCCGAAGTGAACGAAGATGTTGAGGCGGAAGAAGATTCTATTTCAGCGGCGCAAGTAGCTGAGATGATGAATCAGCAGAAGATCATGTACACTGCGCTGATGTGCCAGCAGAATGAGAGTTTCCAAGGCTTTGTGAAACTAATTATGGAGACAAATAACAAGCGATTCGACGACTTGGCCAAAGAAATGCAGGAGATAAAAACGAGTTTGCAGTTTACCCAGCGAGATGTGGACGCGATTAAAGCGGACGTGGGGAGGCATGAAAAAACTGCCAAAGACGCTTTTCGGGACATTGACAAAACCCGAGAGAGTCTAATAACTATTGCGTGTAAAATGGAGCAATTGGAAGTACAGTCCAAGCAAAAAAACCTGATCTTCGAGGGAATCATGGAATCAGCTGGAGAAAGCGGGACGGAAGCGGAGTGTAAGGTGAAGGAGATCTTAAAGGACAAACTGAAAATTCATCAAGATATAGAGATGGAACGGGTTTACAGAGTTGGGAAATTGACCGAACGGGGTCCAAGTGGGATGATGGTTAAGTTGAAGAATGAGAAAGATAAGATAAACATCCTGCAACAAGCCAAGAAGCTTAAGGGAACCAGGATCTACATCAACGAAGATTACCCCGAGTGTGTGAGGAAGAGAAGAAAAGCGTTGATGCCGATGTTAAGAGAGGCTAAGGAGAGAGGAGAAATCACGTTTCTGCGATACGATAAACTGGTGACCCGACCTCGGAACCAGGATTTTGGACCCAGGAACAGCACGCCGAGACAAGGAGAGTATGATGGGGCCGCTGGACCCTCTAATGTCTGAAGAAACTTACAACTAAGATTTGGAACCAACAACAACCAGCATGACCAATGGACAATATGAGGCAAGTGATTTGCTACAGAACTTAATAGATTTTGAGGGACGGGATCTGGAACTGAACACATTTGGAGACACTGAAATTCA